TCCTGTAGGTATTGGATTTGATTGCCGTAATATTTGGGCATATTTAATTGTCAACATGGACTTGAATGGCCCTATGAACTTGACCTTTACTTGTTCCTGGATCTAATTAGGGTGTTTGCAGTAATGACCATATTGTTCATTTTCATATTGAGTTTTCTCTTGGAGTTTAGCATTATGATTTATGAGCCAGTAGATGAGATCATAGGTATACGTGGTTCATTTACCATACTTGATAGGATATGTTATTGTAAAATACCTTTGAGGACAAGCACTTGTGTGCAAGGCGCATGTAAAACTTGGTGCAGAGACTCCTACTCCCTTTCCCAAAATCTCACTTTGTCTCTAAAACATTTGCACAAAGATGTATCACATAAACGCTTAAAAGACAAAGTGTGGATATCAGGTTTAATGGTAATGCAGTGGTTACTTGGACTTGAAAATGAATGCTAGTTGGTTATGAATGCTCTTTTCTTTCAAGATAATTTACTCTCAGGTGAGCATTTTTGTTTGTTCTTGCAATTTAAGTCTGGCTTCTAGCAAAATAAATTGAAGCTATTTACATGATCTGAAAAAACCACATTTTCATTTTGAGTTTTTTCCATATTCAGAATTCATTTTTGTTCTTCTTAATGAGAAGTTCATACCTTAAGGGCAAGGTGACAAAAGTTATAGAACTTGCTTGTGTATTTCTCTGCAGGTGCGGAAGCAATGTTTGCAGATTTGGGTCATTTTTCTGTACCCGCAATACAGGTCTGTGAATCCTCATTTTGTTTCTTTTTAATGAGCAAACTATTAATTTGGTGTTGTTAGGTAGCTTATAGTTATTTAAATTTCCTCTCTTAAACCTCTTGTACAATTTCTTGTGCAGATTGCCTTCACATGCGTGGTATTTCCCTGTCTCCTCCTTGCTTATATGGGCCAAGCGGCTTTTTTGACAAAGAACCCAAGTTCTTATTCAAGCGTATTCTACAAGTCTGTTCCAGGTGATATTTGTTGATTCAATTACTTCTTATGTTAAAACTATAATTAAGATAGTTTTGTTATGTATAGTAATTGTGATGATACCTGCTGTTTGTGCTTTCTGTGAATCAGAGAGTCTGTTCTGGCCAGTGTTTGTGATAGCCACACTTGCTGCTATGATTGCCAGCCAAGCAATGATATCTGCTACGTTTTCGTGCATAAAGCAATCTATGGCTTTGGGATGCTTCCCCAGGCTGAAGATAATTCACACCTCAAAAAAGTTCATGGGTCAAATTTATATCCCCGTAGTTAATTGGTTTCTGATGATCATGTGCATAGTTGTGGTTTCCATATTTCAAAGCACAACTGATATTGCGAATGCATATGGTTAGTGTCTCTCATCTCAATTTTCTTGAAGTAATCTTTTTTTCTAGGTTTTTGCTTTTGGATCTGGGATGACAACTGGTATACTATGACTCCGAGAAGGATTAACATCACGTGTCTTCAATAAACTAAATGGGTTAGAAAAAAAAACTTGAAAGCTGAAAATGACAGGATTTATTGTACACCAGAATTGAAAGGAGAATGTGGTGGATGTAAAAAGGATTTAGGACAAGATTTTATCCCGAACATTAATAGTTTGTAAGAACTTTTGAAAGATAAGATCGTGCTGTTGTAGCGTTTCAAAAGCCAACTTGCACTTTGATGTTGTTATGAACCAAATATTCTTAAGCAGTTAAGTGTATCTATACTAAATGGATTTTAATGTCATTGTTGCAGGCATTGCTGAAGTTGGTGTCATGATGGTCAGCACCATCTTGGTGACCCTTGTAATGGTTTTAATTTGGCAGACTAACTTGCTTTTGGCATTGTGTTTCTGTCTTGGATTTGGTTCAGTGGAGTTAATTTACATGTCTTCTGTCCTATCCAAAATCTTTGAGGGTGGCTGGCTTCCACTTGCCTTTGCTACCCTTTTCCTATCTGTGATGTACACTTGGAACTATGGTAGTGTATTGAAGTACCGAAGTGAAGTTAGAGAGAAGGTTTCAGTGGACACAATGCTTGAGCTTGGCTCCAATCTCGGAACAGTAAGAGTGCCAGGTGTAGGATTGCTGTATAACGAGCTTGTGCAGGGCATTCCCTCCATTTTTTTGCAGTTCTTGCTGAACCTTCCTGCTCTTCACTCAACTATAGTTTTTGTCTGCATTAAATATGTCCCAATCCCAGTGGTTCCTCAAGAAGAAAGATTTCTATTTCGANTTAAAAATAAAGGATACTTTGGAAAAAGCATCACTTTTGAAGAACCTTATATTTGTGTTGGTTCTTGTGGGAGCTTCCATGATTATTGGAGATGGTATTCTAACCCCAGCAATATCAGGTACATAAGCAAGGAACTTTTTGACATGAACCTTTGTTGTTAGTCTTTTAATTTTATCATATGATCAATGATCCATACCTTTATGAAGTTTGATCACAATCAATTGCTTCTTGAGCTAAATTTGTCATACCCATTGTATGAGCTAATATACTATATTAGTTCACTGATATCAGTCAAGTGAGGTTTCAAAATTCTTTTTTCAGTCCTTCACATCAAATCAGAAATTTTGATATGAACTCTCACTGATTTATTGTCCTTTAGTGAATGAACAGCCATCCTGACTCTTAATGGCATCAAATGCACAAAGGTTTGTAATTAATCTCCGCTTTGGGGGTGGGGCTGCAGTGTGGAATTAGAAAGTTGTGTGTTGTTTGATAGAGTTTGACTCGACAGGTTCACTAAACCTCGTTAGGACTATTTTGTCCATACCTTTGAGACGTGAGATCTAACTCAATTTTACAAAATCAGCATATATAAGATGAAGTTTTAAGCCATTATTATACTCTATTTTAGGTTTATCTATGGACAATATGGATCTCCAACAATTTTGGTTTCTTATAGGGACTAAATTTTGTTGAGCTAGTTGAATTGACGCTTTGCATTCACTGTCCCTCTCAGATAACATACAAACATAGTCCTTGAAATTTTTATTTTTTGTTTATCTTTTTTCTGTATGTTTAAAAGAATTTTCTTGCGGTGTAACTTCAGTATAACCATGGTGCTTCTTTCATGCAGTGATGTCTGCCATAAGTGGTCTGCAGGATCAAATAAATGGATTTGGTACTGGTAGGTATCTTTTCCCTTTGTATTTTAAATTTTTTTCTGGAAAACGTTTATCACATGATAGCTTTAGATGGATAATCTTTTGGTGGCTGTGTGCCTTATGTTAAAACAAAACTAATATCAAGGTCTCCACATATCTCCAAAGAAACGAATTTGTGGCATTTGATTAGAGTTGTTTCAGCCACTTACAGTCTAAATAATCTAACAATTTTCTGAAAATTGCAAAATTCAAATCCTTTCACAATACTCTGAATTGAATGCAAGATTTCTCAACCTCAAGCAATTAGCTTGGTGTACTTTGATCTAGGCAGGTCAAATATGGTTCTCCTACAAAACACCCAATTAACTTTTTTTTCCCTCTTTTTTTTCTAAAGATAGTTCAGTTTTTTTTAATGTGAATAACCAACTACTTGTATTTGGATTTTGTCAAGAATGTTAGCATTTAGTCATCTTACGGAATATGGAAATGAACAAACTCGTATTCTGCACCACAAAACTTAGATTTGTTGTTCTCATTTTCAGGTGAAGTGGTTGGTATTTCTATTGTAGTCCTAATGGCTTTGTTCAGCATACAACGGTTTGGTACCGGTAAAGTGGGTTTCTTGTTTGCCCCTATACTTGCCTTATGGTTCTTTTCTCTGGGTTCTATTGGAGTATATAATATACTTAAGTATGATATCACTGTTCTGAGAGCATTCAATCCAGCTTATATCTATTTTTTCTTCAAGAGAAATGGTAAAGCTGCATGGTCATCTCTTGGTGGTTGCGTTCTGTGCATTACAGGTAATATCTTTTTGTCATTCCCATGACTTCATCCTGTAGGTATTGGATTTGATTGCGGTAATATTTGGGCATATTCAATTGTCAACATGGACTTGAATGGCCCTATGAACTTGACCTTTACTTGTTCCTGGATCTAATTAGGGTGTTTGCAGTAATGACCATATTGTTCATTTTCATATTGAGTTTTCTCTTGGAGTTTAGCATTATGATTTATGAGCCAGTAGATGAGATCATAGGTATACGTGGTTCATTTACCATACTTGATAGGATATGTTATTGTAAAATACCTTTGAGGACAAGCACTTGTGTGCAAGGCGCATGTAAAACTTGGTGCAGAGACTCCTACTCCCTTTCCCAAAATCTCACTTTGTCTCTAAAACACTTGCACAAAGATGTATCACATAAACGCTTAAAAGACAAAGTGTGGATATCAGGTTTAATGGTAATGCAGTGGTTACTTGGACTTGAAAATGAATGCTAGTTGGTTATGAATCCTCTGCAGGTGCGGAAGCAATGTTTGCAGATTTGGGTCATTTTTCTGTACCCGCAATACAGGTCTGTGAATCCTCATTTTGTTTCTTTTTAATGAGCAAACTATTAATTTGGTGTTGTTAGGTAGCTTATAGTTATTTAAATTTCCTCTCTTAAACCTCTTGTACAATTTCTTGTGCAGATTGCCTTCACATGCGTGGTATTTCCCTGTCTCCTCCTTGCTTATATGGGCCAAGCGGCTTTTTTGACAAAGAACCCAAGTTCTTATTCAAGCGTATTCTACAAGTCTGTTCCAGGTGATATTTGTTGATTCAATGACTTCTTATGTTAAAACTATAATTAAGATAGTTTTGTTATGTATAGTAATTGTGATGATACCTGCTGTTTGTGCTTTCTGTGAATCAGAGAGTCTGTTCTGGCCAGTGTTTGTGATAGCCACACTTGCTGCTATGATTGCCAGCCAAGCAATGATATCTGCTACGTTTTCGTGCATAAAGCAATCTATGGCTTTGGGATGCTTCCCCAGGCTGAAGATAATTCACACCTCAAAAAAGTTCATGGGTCAAATTTATATCCCCGTAGTTAATTGGTTTCTGATGATCATGTGCATAGTTGTGGTTTCCATATTTCAAAGCACAACTGATATTGCGAATGCATATGGTTAGTGTCTCTCATCTCAATTTTCTTGAAGTAATCTTTTTTTCTAGGTTTTTGCTTTTGGATCTGGGATGACAACTGGTATACTATGACTCCGAGAAGGATTAACATCACGTGTCTTCAATAAACTAAATGGGTTAGAAAAAAAAACTTGAAAGCTGAAAATGACAGGATTTATTGTACACCAGAATTGAAAGGAGAATGTGGTGGATGTAAAAAGGATTTAGGACAAGATTTTATCCCGAACATTAATAGTTTGTAAGAACTTTTGAAAGATAAGATCGTGCTGTTGTAGCGTTTCAAAAGCCAACTTGCACTTTGATGTTGTTATGAACCAAATATTCTTAAGCAGTTAAGTGTATCTATACTAAATGGATTTTAATGTCATTGTTGCAGGCATTGCTGAAGTTGGTGTCATGATGGTCAGCACCATCTTGGTGACCCTTGTAATGGTTTTAATTTGGCAGACTAACTTGCTTTTGGCATTGTGTTTCTGTCTTGGATTTGGTTCAGTGGAGTTAATTTACATGTCTTCTGTCCTATCCAAAATCTTTGAGGGTGGCTGGCTTCCACTTGCCTTTGCTACCCTTTTCCTATCTGTGATGTACACTTGGAACTATGGTAGTGTATTGAAGTACCGAAGTGAAGTTAGAGAGAAGGTTTCAGTGGACACAATGCTTGAGCTTGGCTCCAATCTCGGAACAGTAAGAGTGCCAGGTGTAGGATTGCTGTATAACGAGCTTGTGCAGGGCATTCCCTCCATTTTTTTGCAGTTCTTGCTGAACCTTCCAGCTCTTCACTCAACTATAGTTTTTGTCTGCATTAAATATGTCCCAATCCCAGTGGTTCCTCAAGAAGAAAGATTTCTATTTCGAAGAGTTTGCCCCAAAGATTACCACATATTCCGGTGTGTTGCCAGATATGGTTACAAAGATGTAAGGAAGGAAGATCACCAAGCATTTGAGCAACTTCTTATTGAGAGTCTTGAGAAATTCTTGAGAAGAGAAGCTCTTGAGACAGCCTTGGAGTTGGAGGGCAACTTAACTGATGAGTTGGACAGTGTCTCAGCAAATACAAGAGAATCTGATCTTCCTGTTGGTACTGGTGCTGATGAGCTTAGGATTCCACTGATGCATGATCAGAAATTAGAAGAAACAGGAACTTCTTCAGCATTGCCATCTAGTTACATGTCCTCAGATGATGATCCTGGTCTTGAATATGAGCTTTCAGCTCTTAGAGAAGCAACAGAATCAGGATTCACCTATTTGCTTGGACATGGAGATGTGAGGGCAAAGAAGAACTCTTTTTTCTTTAAGAAACTAGTGATAAATTATTTCTACACATTTCTCAGAAATAACTGCAGAGGAGGTACAGCAAACATGAGAGTACCTCACACCAATATCATTCAAGTTGGAATGACATATATGGTCTGACACGGCCATGTTCTTTTCATATTGTGCAATGCACCCTCAGGTCTGGAACTCATTGTTATTGGTATTTTCTTTTTCTGTCAGTTTTCTTACTGTATGTGCTGGCTCACAATAGCAGTTGGTCGTTAGAAAAGCCAGCGTGTGGGATATAGCCAAGGTGGTTCACATATGAAGCTGTTTCAGAATCTGTACTTCTTTAATTGTTTCGTTTTTCGATTCATAATGTGAAGTATTAGTTCATTAATTTATATGGGCCAAACTAGTGAAATTTGAATGATGAAAACAATGTTAAATATTATATTAGAATTCTTTTACCATCTATCGTAAGTTTATCTGATTTGAATAGAATTTTCTCTCATAACGAATACATGTGATTCAGAAAAATAATGCAAGTGAACAGATAAGCATGCAAGATCTATGGATTTCGAAAATGGATTCTCTTTGATTGGAAGTGTAACATCCCAAAATATAGCAGAATATTATATCATAGATTAATCACATTTAATAATATGATAGATCAGTTCTTCAAGAGTCAGTAAAACTAAAAACTTTTTAACGTACCATAAGTCTAATACAAAACATAGGAAATAAACCGAACAATTCTATTACTAGATTTAAACAAATCATCCTATACCGATCGATTATACACAAACTATATAAACCGATCGGTTTACAAAAGATAAGCTCAGCCTAATGACCGAACGGTCTTAACTAAGCTGCAAGACCATCGTCTTCCAACGCTTGTTCCACCGAACACTCATCGCCTTCTGCTCACATCCACAGGATGATCATTGCAAAAGAAAAGATAATCGGACGGACAATACAAGACAAAACAAGATAGTAGGGTAAGCTAATGTAATTTAATTACAAAACACATTTAAATATTTCATACAAGTTCAAACAATGCGATACCGAACGTTACCTCATGCCAACACCGAATACAAGCAATCATATACAAAATAAACATCATAATTCATATGTATATATATACCGAACACTATGACTTGACCATTCGGATTGTATGAATATGTAGCTACAGTCGTTCTTGCACTTATGGTAGTGTAACAGCTGACACCAATCAAGCTACTACCCAAGATTAATCCCATAATACCTACCTCGGCACCCTGAGGTGGTAGGACCTCCTACGATCCTCACGAATGAAATATCTCTTTCTATGTGAGAATGATACTCATAGAATTTCAGGATGAACGCCAGCTTAGCATATCCATATTCATACTTTACAATTCAATGACCACCCACGAGACATTCCGCCTTGGAATTCTCTTCCACAATATTTAAAAATCAAAATTCTCATATGTATTATAAACAGTCATTCATCAATTATATTTTCACTCATAAGATAGATAAAATTTGTGAACATTGGAGACTGAACACCTTCACACTTACCAAAGAGACAAAATCGAACACTTTCACACTTACCAAAGGGACAAGACCGAACACTTTCACACTTACCAAAGGGACAAGACCGAACACTTTATAAAAACCAACTACTAATAATTTAGCCCACAACTGAAGAGCTTAAACTGAACGCTCATAGCTCAATTCGAACGATAAAAGATTTTATACCGAATGTGTATACGACCGAACACTACTAAAGAAATACATGACCGAGCGCTACAGGGAACGACCAACACACCTAAAACCGAACGTTCAACATTGGTAACACTAAAGAGACCAAACCCGGTAAATGACCAATCAGGCCGATCGCTATTAATAATGTATACTATTAAAACCGAACGCTAAAATATATGATTACTAAGGACGAACGTTAATACCAACTCGAAGATTACTAAGATTAAAAAAAAAACAAGTATTTTGAAAATGGAAAGCCAATACTAAACCGAACACACTAAGTTAAGATATCACTACAAACCTAATATTACTAAACCCAATTTCAAGACTTGACCGAACGCTCGATAATGAGCACTCTTCTCCCTACAATTCTTCAGAACTTCTTAACTAGTTCATAGGTCTCGGAAATACACATAAAACAAACAAATATTAATTTATTCACACATACACACGTTCAACCAAGCATTTCAATCCTAAACGAACATAATTAAATTACTAGCTTTCCTTACCTCGAATAAACCAAACACTTCCTAAGCTTCCACTGTGTTGACTACCCAGAAATCAGCTTCTAAGGCAACCTACTACTTTCTGATCGGTGAAAAGGAACCAACCTGAGAATCAAAGACAGAAAACAAACTCAGAGAAGTAGATGATGAACACATGCAAGCTTGAACAGTACTTCCATGTATCAGAAAATACAAAAACTTCAAAGAATGAGTGAATTTAACTTACCAAATCCAAACAACAACTTGATTGGTGAAAAGAGAAACTCTTCCCACCAGGAAACTCAAGCACGGTCTAAATTGATGATCAGAAGAAAAAGAAGATGAGAATTTGTAGAGAGAAGGAGAAGAATTTTAGACAGAAGGAGGAGAAAATAAAACTCAGAAATTTGGAGAGAAGAGGTGCATGCAGAAAGTGGTCCGAAACTTTGAAAAGTTTACTTATATACTACCGTAAAAAACCGATTGGTCCAACCAGCTGCATACCCTGGATTCCACTTTTCTCTGAATTTAATGATCTTGACAGGAAGAAACCCTGACGCATTAATAAATTTCTATCCTTGAGTTCTTCCTCTGGAAATAATTAATATTTTGAACTCAAATCCCAACAAACTCAACACTGGGACATAAAACAAGTGAGGAACAAAATGGGAATAACTGAAAATTTGGTCACTTTGTCTGCCATTCATCAAATGTTAATGTCAATTGTATAAGACGGGAACAGGGAATAAGGATAATTTATCATTTATCATTCAATAATTTCATTTTTTATTGTACCAAATAATTTATATTTTTAATGCATCATATTGCAATTATATATTAGATTANTCCATATTTCAAAGCACAACTGATATTGCGAATGCATATGGTTAGTGTCTCTCATCTCAATTTTCTTGAAGTAATCTTTTTTTCTAGGTTTTTGCTTTTGGATCTGGGATGACAACTGGTATACTATGACTCCGAGAAGGATTAACATCACGTGTCTTCAATAAACTAAATGGGTTAGAAAAAAAAACTTGAAAGCTGAAAATGACAGGATTTATTGTACACCAGAATTGAAAGGAGAATGTGGTGGATGTAAAAAGGATTTAGGACAAGATTTTATCCCGAACATTAATAGTTTGTAAGAACTTTTGAAAGATAAGATCGTGCTGTTGTAGCGTTTCAAAAGCCAACTTGCACTTTGATGTTGTTATGAACCAAATATTCTTAAGCAGTTAAGTGTATCTATACTAAATGGATTTTAATGTCATTGTTGCAGGCATTGCTGAAGTTGGTGTCATGATGGTCAGCACCATCTTGGTGACCCTTGTAATGGTTTTAATTTGGCAGACTAACTTGCTTTTGGCATTGTGTTTCTGTCTTGGATTTGGTTCAGTGGAGTTAATTTACATGTCTTCTGTCCTATCCAAAATCTTTGAGGGTGGCTGGCTTCCACTTGCCTTTGCTACCCTTTTCCTATCTGTGATGTACACTTGGAACTATGGTAGTGTATTGAAGTACCGAAGTGAAGTTAGAGAGAAGGTTTCAGTGGACACAATGCTTGAGCTTGGCTCCAATCTCGGAACAGTAAGAGTGCCAGGTGTAGGATTGCTGTATAACGAGCTTGTGCAGGGCATTCCCTCCATTTTTTTGCAGTTCTTGCTGAACCTTCCAGCTCTTCACTCAACTATAGTTTTTGTCTGCATTAAATATGTCCCAATCCCAGTGGTTCCTCAAGAAGAAAGATTTCTATTTCGAAGAGTTTGCCCCAAAGATTACCACATATTCCGGTGTGTTGCCAGATATGGTTACAAAGATGTAAGGAAGGAAGATCACCAAGCATTTGAGCAACTTCTTATTGAGAGTCTTGAGAAATTCTTGAGAAGAGAAGCTCTTGAGACAGCCTTGGAGTTGGAGGGCAACTTAACTGATGAGTTGGACAGTGTCTCAGCAAATACAAGAGAATCTGATCTTCCTGTTGGTACTGGTGCTGATGAGCTTAGGATTCCACTGATGCATGATCAGAAATTAGAAGAAACAGGAACTTCTTCAGCATTGCCATCTAGTTACATGTCCTCAGATGATGATCCTGGTCTTGAATATGAGCTTTCAGCTCTTAGAGAAGCAACAGAATCAGGATTCACCTATTTGCTTGGACATGGAGATGTGAGGGCAAAGAAGAACTCTTTTTTCTTTAAGAAACTAGTGATAAATTATTTCTACACATTTCTCAGAAATAACTGCAGAGGAGGTACAGCAAACATGAGAGTACCTCACACCAATATCATTCAAGTTGGAATGACATATATGGTCTGACACGGCCATGTTCTTTTCATATTGTGCAATGCACCCTCAGGTCTGGAACTCATTGTTATTGGTATTTTCTTTTTCTGTCAGTTTTCTTACTGTATGTGCTGGCTCACAATAGCAGTTGGTCGTTAGAAAAGCCAGCGTGTGGGATATAGCCAAGGTGGTTCACATATGAAGCTGTTTCAGAATCTGTACTTCTTTAATTGTTTCGTTTTTCGATTCATAATGTGAAGTATTAGTTCATTAATTTATATGGGCCAAACTAGTGAAATTTGAATGATGAAAACAATGTTAAATATTATATTAGAATTCTTTTACCATCTATCGTAAGTTTATCTGATTTGAATAGAATTTTCTCTCATAACGAATACATGTGATTCAGAAAAATAATGCAAGTGAACAGATAAGCATGCAAGATCTATGGATTTCGAAAATGGATTCTCTTTGATTGGAAGTGTAACATCCCAAAATATAGCAGAATATTATATCATAGATTAATCACATTTAATAATATGATAGATCAGTTCTTCAAGAGTCAGTAAAACTAAAAACTTTTTAACGTACCATAAGTCTAATACAAAACATAGGAAATAAACCGAACAATTCTATTACTAGATTTAAACAAATCATCCTATACCGATCGATTATACACAAACTATATAAACCGATCGGTTTACAAAAGATAAGCTCAGCCTAATGACCGAACGGTCTTAACTAAGCTGCAAGACCATCGTCTTCCAACGCTTGTTCCACCGAACACTCATCGCCTTCTGCTCACATCCACAGGATGATCATTGCAAAAGAAAAGATAATCGGACGGACAATACAAGACAAAACAAGATAGTAGGGTAAGCTAATGTAATTTAATTACAAAACACATTTAAATATTTCATACAAGTTCAAACAATGCGATACCGAACGTTACCTCATGCCAACACCGAATACAAGCAATCATATACAAAATAAACATCATAATTCATATGTATATATATACCGAACACTATGACTTGACCATTCGGATTGTATGAATATGTAGCTACAGTCGTTCTTGCACTTATGGTAGTGTAACAGCTGACACCAATCAAGCTACTACCCAAGATTAATCCCATAATACCTACCTCGGCACCCTGAGGTGGTAGGACCTCCTACGATCCTCACGAATGAAATATCTCTTTCTATGTGAGAATGATACTCATAGAATTTCAGGATGAACGCCAGCTTAGCATATCCATATTCATACTTTACAATTCAATGACCACCCACGAGACATTCCGCCTTGGAATTCTCTTCCACAATATTTAAAAATCAAAATTCTCATATGTATTATAAACAGTCATTCATCAATTATATTTTCACTCATAAGATAGATAAAATTTGTGAACATTGGAGACTGAACACCTTCACACTTACCAAAGAGACAAAATCGAACACTTTCACACTTACCAAAGGGACAAGACCGAACACTTTCACACTTACCAAAGGGACAAGACCGAACACTTTATAAAAACCAACTACTAATAATTTAGCCCACAACTGAAGAGCTTAAACTGAACGCTCATAGCTCAATTCGAACGATAAAAGATTTTATACCGAATGTGTATACGACCGAACACTACTAAAGAAATACATGACCGAGCGCTACAGGGAACGACCAACACACCTAAAACCGAACGTTCAACATTGGTAACACTAAAGAGACCAAACCCGGTAAATGACCAATCAGGCCGATCGCTATTAATAATGTATACTATTAAAACCGAACGCTAAAATATATGATTACTAAGGACGAACGTTAATACCAACTCGAAGATTACTAAGATTAAAAAAAAAACAAGTATTTTGAAAATGGAAAGCCAATACTAAACCGAACACACTAAGTTAAGATATCACTACAAACCTAATATTACTAAACCCAATTTCAAGACTTGACCGAACGCTCGATAATGAGCACTCTTCTCCCTACAATTCTTCAGAACTTCTTAACTAGTTCATAGGTCTCGGAAATACACATAAAACAAACAAATATTAATTTATTCACACATACACACGTTCAACCAAGCATTTCAATCCTAAACGAACATAATTAAATTACTAGCTTTCCTTACCTCGAATAAACCAAACACTTCCTAAGCTTCCACTGTGTTGACTACCCAGAAATCAGCTTCTAAGGCAACCTACTACTTTCTGATCGGTGAAAAGGAACCAACCTGAGAATCAAAGACAGAAAACAAACTCAGAGAAGTAGATGATGAACACATGCAAGCTTGAACAGTACTTCCATGTATCAGAAAATACAAAAACTTCAAAGAATGAGTGAATTTAACTTACCAAATCCAAACAACAACTTGATTGGTGAAAAGAGAAACTCTTCCCACCAGGAAACTCAAGCACGGTCTAAATTGATGATCAGAAGAAAAAGAAGATGAGAATTTGTAGAGAGAAGGAGAAGAATTTTAGACAGAAGGAGGAGAAAATAAAACTCAGAAATTTGGAGAGAAGAGGTGCATGCAGAAAGTGGTCCGAAACTTTGAAAAGTTTACTTATATACTACCGTAAAAAACCGATTGGTCCAACCAGCTGCATACCCTGGATTCCACTTTTCTCTGAATTTAATGATCTTGACAGGAAGAAACCCTGACGCATTAATAAATTTCTATCCTTGAGTTCTTCCTCTGGAAATAATTAATATTTTGAACTCAAATCCCAACAAACTCAACACTGGGACATAAAACAAGTGAGGAACAAAATGGGAATAACTGAAAATTTGGTCACTTTGTCTGCCATTCATCAAATGTTAATGTCAATTGTATAAGACGGGAACAGGGAATAAGGATAATTTATCATTTATCATTCAATAATTTCATTTTTTATTGTACCAAATAATTTATATTTTTAATGCATCATATTGCAATTATATATTAGATTAAATATGTTTTTTTTCTTAAATTATGTGATTTTAATTTTCTCTCCCTTTGAAACTTTGATATATTTTCATCTCTTTCCTTTTAAAAAGTCTCACATGTAGTCATTTACAACTAATAGTTTTAATATTTTTTTGACATGACTAATGGCGTACCAAATAAATTATAACATATAATAACACATGGTTGCAAGATGTTTAATTTTATTTTTTGAATTAAAATTAACTTTTGATACCTACCCAACAAGGACTACCATGTTGTAGTTTCCCTTATTCATTTAGAATTAGGGTTTCCGTGATTGGAGGGAAGTGGTTAGGGGTGTGATAACGGTTGACAAACCGTTATTTTTATACTTATTTTTGACATTAAAAACAACCTTTATGACTTAGAAACTAGCTTCAAATCATGCTTTTGCTTAAGTTTTGGAAATAAGAGAGTTGGATGGGTTTTATGTTTGGTTTCCTTGTTTTGGCAGAAATTAAGATGAATTGGATGAAAGAAGTTGAAGTAGAAGGAGTTAGACTCAGAAAAGGAAGGAAAAGTGCACAAAAGAAGAACCGTTGTCACCGCTCAGCGCCATTTGCACCGTTGAGTGCCAATCTGGTTGATGGATACACTGTTTCGCGCTTAAGCGGCATCGTTGAGGGCAAATTCAAGTATCACAGTCACCGTTGAGCGCAACTTTTATCGCTGAGCGTAATTCTTTAGAACCGCACTTACCGTTGAGCGCCAAACTGCCGCTGAGCGCCATTTAATTGGGCTTGGGCCTATTTGCTGTAATTTTTAATAAACTATATAAGGGTTTAGTCGACCTAGGGTTGGTATCTTTGGACAGAAAGAGGCGAAATTACACTCTTTTCACCCCTTGGAGGCGGAAGCTCCGATCTTCAACTTTTAGGGTTCTATCTTTCATTATTTTCATCTAGTTTCACCATGTCTATGGTGAACTAAACCTCCATTGTTGTTGGGGAACTGATGTAATCCTTTGAAACTCTCATGTATTGAATTGGTTTTATATTTTATATGCTTTACTTCATAAATTGTTAGGGTTTTTCTTCGATGTTTTATGCATGCTTTGTTTAACTCATTCAAATGCATGATCATTGATGTTATTTATATGGACACATATAGGTAAATCTAGAACTGAGGAAATTCTCCCAAGAGAAATATTACCTAGACATAGGGATAGGAGGATTGGTTGCCTTTAAGCTTCTATGTGAATGTAATGCATGAATAATTGCTAGGGAGACAAGACATTGTAAACTAGTGATTAGAATTGGGCTTTCTTCACCGAGACATCGGGTTTAAGGTGAATTAGAAAGTGACATTAACATTAATGAAGAAAGATGAATTCATGAATACATGAGAGTGGATAGAATAAGTCGGAAACCCCAACAACATAATCATTCCATATTTTACATCAATCTCTTTTGCTTCTTTCAATCCAATTGATCAAAACTTGCATTCATGTTTATTTTTCGCAATTCAAACACAATGATTTTGTTTACAAGTCTAATTTAATCAAGAAATCACATAACTGTCTAGGCCGTGAGTTCTTTGGGAAACAATACTTGGTCTTACCATTTTATTATTACTTGATACGATTCGGTACACTTGCCGGAGTGTTAACAGGGTGGTCCAACTCTAGTAACGGTGGTGATTGGTGGTGTTTTGTGATTCTATTTTAGATATGAAGAGACATGATTTGAGGTTTTCATCTTCGTGTGAGTTCTGATTCAATTTGTAGGTTTGCTTTGATTGCACGATTTGCGATTTGGATGGTGGGACTTAATCTACAATTAGTGCCATGTTTAAGATGACAGAGATGAGAAGTAGTCGTTCGCGATTAGGGTTTCAGTTTTGGAGTTGTCTAAGATGGCACTATGATGGACGAACATTCTGGCTTATGTTTTGGGTTTTTCCAAGTGGGTGAACAATGATGCGATTCTATGAAAGGCTTTTTCTTCAAAGCATCTCATCAATTGTAAGTGTAGAGGAGATGATATTCTTTGCTTTAACATCATAGTGCGCTCTCCTACTTTCATCTAAGGTCCACTCAGAAAAGTTCTTGATAACAATCTTGCCATCTACCTCTCTTTTTGGTTCATAGGGACCATTGATCACAACATCCCAAACTCCCTTGTCTACTGATTTCAAGAAAATTTTCATTCTAATTTTTCATAAAGGGTAGTTTTCACCTGCAAAAAGTGGTGGTTTTTTTGTAGATGCACCTTCACCAAAAGTTTGAGATGTACTGGCCATCAGTAACAATTTAATCGATTATAACCTAACCGATTAAAATTCGAGTAAAATTCGAATTCCCAGCTCTGGTACCAATTGTAGAAAAAGTAATGCCAATAATCTCAACCAGGGGGTGGGG